ATTCACAGGGCCGCGTTTTAGGCGATCGTAGCGTTCTTTACAAGTATTTAAACCCGAACCTGCTCGTCGCATTGGTGCAGAGCAAGGTGCACCGAGGTCATGTTTAATCGCCTTTGTCGGTGCCAATTTAATCTCCTTTTATTTTCAGGCGAGATGACATTGTTCCTGCTTGACGGTGTAAGTGGCGAAATTCTGTTTGCCGCTGCGAAAAACCGACTGATGCCCCCGTTCCATCTGTTGCTGTGCGAAAACTGGATTTTGGTATGAACTTTTTACCTTCTCATACTTATTGTCAGGTGGCGGTTAGTGGCGTGCAGCCGAGGCAGTTGTGATACTTAAGTATCTTGGACTAGCATTCGCGAGTGAAAGCGGGTCGCATATGGAAATAGGCACCCAGCTCGGCCAGGCGACCGCGCTGTTGTTTCATGTAAACCCGTCGGCGATGGTGTGAACAGTAAGCCTAGCAATATTGCCAATTTATCTGTCTTGAAGTGTCTTTTCACCGGACTTCATGGTAATGGTGCTTGATATTGACCGCGAAAATGCGATCCAGAATACTTTCGACAGAAATGAGGCTTAAATATTTCCTTAAGTTTTCGATTCTGGGCCCAAAATTACGACGATGAATCTTTGAACAATTCATGGTTCGGGGCACCAAATCCAAGAAATGAGGCTTCTTCAAGGATTGTTTGAGCGATGAGTGTTGAGCTTCACGAAACTTCGAAACACACCAGCACGAGATGTCCTCCCTTGTAGGTCATTTATTTTTCTCGTCGAAGAATCACAATTTTGATAGTTTCGACATGTGATTCGAATACCAGGAGAAAGCTTGATACGACGCCCTTTCTTGGTAGTAGCAAATGGTCAGGAGGCAGACAAGAGAGCAAATGGATGGTGTGCGTCGAGTTCTTGACATTGTTGTACCATAGAAACGGTCTTGTATTTTTTTTCCAATAGGCAGAGGACTGGAATTGTTGAGAAAAATCTGGTGTCTCTCATGAACATGAAAACTGCGGTGAAAAAACGGATAGATGGTGTTCTTGTCAGTTGACTTTCTGGCTTAACTTTTGGCACAACGCTTTTTGAATCATTCCCGTTGTTTTTCGTGGTGATCATACGCTTGGAGCACTGTCTTATTCAGAAAGGCACAATTCATTTTCACGACCTTGCAGAATATCGTGCATTTTAATTATCCATCTCCTCAGCGACACAACAATGCGACTTTTGGCGCGAAATATTTTTTTTGATATTTCTTTCATCGTTTCGGCTTTATATACAGATGCCGTCGTCAAGAATATTCAGGAACAGTAGTATTAAATCTAGAAATTATAGTAACCTATCCGTCAGTTTCTGAGCTTGCTCCTTACGAATTTGCCTTTCAACGAACCACGTAGGTGTATATTTTTTTCAATTTGTGAACATCATTTTCGCTGCAATGAAGAATTACCCTTCGCCAGAACGTTCGCTTCGTTAGTAACGAACGCGCGGGAACATAGCTGTACAGTACGCAGCATATGGAAAATGTCAGATTGAGTTCACTTCCTTCAGTCTCTCGGCTTGCTTGTTTTAATCATCACCTTGAGCCGCTTCGAAACGCGCAATATTTCTGGTCGTGAAGTCCGCTGAATTCTCAGCTTTTCAACATATATGCTGTATGGCAGTGGTTACCGCCGCGTAGAATCATCACTTTCTCTGGAAACACAGATCTGCCTCTACCATTTTGATCTGTATGCTCACAGTAATTCAAGTTTTAATGTATACGACTGTTTATTCTTTATTTACGTTGGTTGTGGTGCTTGCACTGTAACTGCAGTAACTGCTGTGTAGTGTCAACCTTTCGTTTTGCACGTTACTCTTGTTTTACGCGATGGAATCGGTAACAGCTATAACAAAAGTAATACTATTCTGATCCTCTTTATTTTACGTTATTTTGAAATAAATTTTAAAAAATACTGGGTGATTTTGTCGGGAATCAAGAAGCAGTCAAATTTTTTGGCATTGAGGTCAACGAAAGTTTGATTTTCGATCTGGAAATTTTCTCCCTGCGAACTAATTTAATGGATTGGATTACCTTCGTAAATCGATGGTAGGGGTTCAACAGGCTTAATCGTCGCTTTGAATCTATACACCTGGCCAGTAATCATCTTCTTCATCTTCCATCGTCGCTTCTACTTATGGGTCGCGGAGGCAGACGCGTCAGACAGCTTCCAACGTTCCTGATCCTGTGCCAGGGTTTAAGCTTCGGCAGAAGACAACTGGATTCTTGAACAGATTCCTTCCATATATTTGCATCAGGTTAATCTTGGCCGTCCCCTGGACCTTCTGCGGTCGGTTTAGCAAGAAAGTTGCTTAGCCTTCCTTTCTGGAGGGATTCGCAATACATGCCCTAACCGTCGCAGATGTGACTTCTCAGTCTGTAGAAGCATAGGCTGTATTCCATGGCTCTTCAGGATGTCACTATTTTGAACCACATCGAGACGCGTAAGGCCAGTGACTCGTCTAAGAAAGCCCATTTCAGCATCTTTTACCCGGGTTCGAAGCTTTTCAGTCATGGTCCACGACTCGTGACCGAAATCATTTGCATAAAACATTTGGTCTAGCGCTGTATGAGTAGAATTCGATGCCGTTTGGTGACTGTGCGAATCATTGAGTCAGCATGTAATCGTGCAGTTGCGAATTTCAACTGGTCATTGGCAGATTGCCATCTCTATCAGTTATATGACGTCATTACTCATATTGCCTATCCATGGAATCTTTCTGCATGTTCGACGCTCTTGTCAAGCTTGTGTGAACATCGACGATTTCTGTTTTATTTTTTGATTCCGTTGAATGTGACCGCGCAAGGTCACTAAGTCAGAGCGCAGCGATATTCATCGCGCTGTCATTTTATCGGTGGGTAGAGTTCGTGTAATTATTAGGTAGTCATCTATACCAGTTACTTGGTTTGATCCATCACGACCCCTCGAAAACTGTCTGAGCACACTAAGCGAAGTTTTTTTACAATTGTCAATTTCAAAGTGTATTTTCGTTTGACGATTGCGCAAGCTGATTCTGTCTGCGCGCGTTCATGTTATCGAGGTTTCAACGTTTGAAATGTTCAAAACCATGTCGCTCCCGTTTGCGGCTGTTTTCATAATGTTGCATATCAGTAAGACGCTTTCTCTGAGCCCCGTCCATAAGTTTTGTTACAGTAGTGAATTTTTGTCCAGAGTCGTTTTGTGTCGTAGTTATTCACATTCACTTATGCGTTTATTCGTGTTACGATATTTCTTCAACTTGACAGGTGGTTGATGACTGCAAGAAAGCTGTTCGTGGCATTGCGCGGCTTCTATTTTATTAGATATAGCAAATCTGATCGCTCGGAACTGAATAATCATTATCTCAAAATTCTTTGGAATTCAAGGTTCTTTGACATAAGGTTCGCAGTAACATGGCAATGACAGGAAAGATGGCAGAACGAAGATTTAAACCGATGTCTACAAAATGCAGAGATTCAAACTCTTTGTTTAATGGCTGCGCACAGAATTGCTGCCTTTATGCAGCCACTGCGATGAAGTCGTAAACTATGATGACATCTTCGAGATTTAGAAGTAAGACAGTGGCGTAACATTGCTCAGATTTTTGATGATTGCATACACATCGAGGGTTAAAGGAC